GGGGGGGGGGGGGGGGGGAGGTACAGAAGATTGTCGACTTTTTCCCCAAAGAGCAGCTTGTGATCTCACGTGGAGACTTGGCGACTGCAGATTCACCTTGTTCCATCTCAAGTCTTGCTTTGACATGCGGAGACCGTGCTGTAAACAGTCGGGAATCCTCGGTGTCGATGTGTTTGGTCGCTGCAGGGGGCCCCACCCTGAGGAAGTGGATCCCTTGAGCTTGTGCTCCCCCGTCCTGGTCACCGGTGGTTTCTGCCCCTGGTGCTGTAGCCTAGGAGCTCCCTGAAATCAGAAAGGTCTTTACAGGCCTTCACGTCAGAGGCTGCCCCCACAGGGCTGGGAGAGCCCGCGCTGAGTGCGGGGCAAAGCGTCCTTCAGAGCCTCAGTCTCTCCAGCTGTAAAATACATATTTTAAGGGTACTTTTAGAGTGGGGCTCTATGAGGTGGTCCTCTTACTGTTGTTATCGTTTTTGCCTATTTCCAGAACTTGTTTTATTCTTTAAGCCGTTTTCCCACGGGAAAATACTGAGGACGTGGAAACCATACCTCACCCGAATTCTTCTCTTTCCGTTAACAGTCTCCAGTTTTTAGGCACCGGACTCTGGAGAACTCGCCCATGTCCAGCTGTGAGACCAGTGACGCAGAGGGCCCAGTGCCCGTGAACAGTGCAGCCGTCCTGAGGAAGAGCCAGCCGGCCCCCGCCAGCTCCCCCTGCCGGGGACACGTGCTTCGGAAGGCCAAGGTGAGATCCCGGCCCTCCTGCTTGCGGGGGGACGCCAGCACTGCTGGGGAACGGGCATCCCGGGGCGGGTGGGGGACGCCAGCACTGGCACAGGCAAGGTGTGGTGGAGGCACTTCAGCCTCAGACTTTGTGGGTGGGGTGCAGGAGCTCCGTGGGGCCTCCTTTTCCAGTTCTGCAGCTTCTCTATTAGATGCCATTTCACGAGTATCCACCCAGTCAGACCCTCCTACAGGCATCCTCCTTTTCAAAGGCAAAAAAGACCAGAACCTGTCTCTAGGCCTGGACCATCTGTCTTCAGGAAAACCAGCAGCATGGTTCTGTGTCCTGGCTTCTCCTGACCCGTTCTTTCATTGGGGAAGTAGAGATTGGCCAGCGAGCGCTGGGATCTTTACAAAATCAAAAGTCGAGGCAGGCTCTTCCCCATACCCTCTGCCTCCCAGCCCCGCCCTAGCCTGTAACCCTGTACCCGAGGGGCCATTCTGTAGTACCTTCCAGTCTTCTGATGGGATTGGCCACTAACGATTTTTGATGCTAAGCTTAAAAATCCCAGAGAATTTTTAAAAACTATAGTTTATCAAAGCAAACGGTTCCTGACGGCTTAACTGAAAGTGTGTGGTATGAAAAAATCCTGCTTGGTACAGTCAGGCGAATGCATCCAGATGAGTTTAATTTGTTGTGATGAATGTGGAGGCCAGACATCCTCCCTTCACTGTCTCTGGGACCCTCTCTTGCTGTCATTACCTTTGTTCTTTGGCAGCTTTGGAACCCATTCCAAATTGGCTAGAAATCTGTTGTTTTCTGAAAAACGGATGTGGTGTCAGATAAGAATGTGAGTGTTAACCTCTGGCTGCTGTGTTCACGGAGGGTCCCTGCCAATGGTGGTTATAAGCAGCATCCTGGAATATCTGTCTTTGTAGCACGTGCGTTTGACTGAGCCTGTGCGTCGATAAATTCGGGGAAAAGGAGAATTACTGTGCATCACTTGCTCCTTTTCCTTGGCCGGCGCCAAGTGTTCTTCGTTTGCAGAGGAGTATGTTTTGCCTGAAAGATGTTCAGAATAGAGCTGTCCCATAAAGTCCCCCTAATTATTGGCAGAAGGGAACTGCCGTAAAAATATTTCACTTATTTCTCTGTCAAAGAAATCAGTTTCCAGTTCTGTCAGTCCAGCCTCTTAAAGGGCTCCATTTTCCATGCCTGCTCTCACCGTCCCGAGGCTCAGGACTCTGCACTTCCTGCCCCCTTTTCACAATAAATGTAAAACGTGTGGTTTTGGCCGGTTCAGATGCACAGCTGGCCGTTCAGACCGGACCATATCCTCCCTGAAGGCGTGGGATCGAGCAGGGATTTCCCAGGATTCCTGAGAATAGTGGCAGGGGACCCACGGCTGGAGGGCGGGGTGGTGGCCTGGCCTCTTGCCTCTGGGAGCGTCCGTCCGCCTGTAGATGCATCACACACGTGGCCTCCTCTTGCACCCTGGCCTTTTTTCTGAGCACCTTTCTGAGTCTGACTCGTTCTGGGCTCGGAAACCGTTATCCCAGGCTGTATTCCTAGAATAATTTCCCATTCCCGATGAGGGATGCTCTGGAGTGTAAGAGAGCGCGCTCCTGAAACTCAGAGGGTTTCAAATCACCTGTCACGGGGTTTCCCGGCCGAGAAGGGGGCTGAAGGGCCCCGACGTCCAGCTCCAGGCCCAGCATTCTCCCCGCAGCCTGGGAACTCCGGGTGCCGAGGGACATTCTGGGAGCCGGGGTGTGGTGGCCGCAGTGCTTTCAGAGCTGACACACGTGCCCCAGGTCCCAGCGTACCAGGACTGGGCCATCCCGAGCACGGGACACCCGCCTTCGTGCAGCCTTTTCAGTGAAACACACGGCGGCCTTGGGTCCTCCCCATGTCCCCCTGGCTGGGCTTGTCCGTGGAGCTCCCTGCTTGGTGGCCAGCGTGACCTGTGCTTGGTCACACGATTACACGCGTAATCGTGCGTGTGAGGCTTTGGCAGCCTGTCCAGGCACATACACACGACTTCTCTCCAAGCCGGCGCCGCCCCAGAGGCTGGCGGCTGTGGAGCGAGGCTTGCCGGGGCACCGGGCTCCCTGCCGCCCGGAGCATCACCTTTGCGCAGAGCAGCTGAGCATCCTCTCTGGGGAGCCCGGAATTGGGGGTGGGGCAGTGGGAGAGGCCACGAGGTCATCCACGCCTCTGTAGGACCAGCGCCTGCACGTGCTCACGAGGTGCAGGCGGCTCAGTTTTGGTTTTGTTTCTGCCACGTTGGCTAACGCCATGCTTTTAACCATTAATGAAGCAAGCTTATAGTTCAATGCTAAAAAAAAAGGGGAGAAATTCCTAATTTGATACAATATGAGAAGGTGTGCAGTGTACTCACGGCCCAGTTAATGAGCCCCTGGGGATACAGTGGGAGTCAGGCACTTGCATCAGACCAGCACTGCCGCGCTCGGTGCCCCCAGGGCAGGCGGGAGAGCCCTGCTTGGCGCCAGGCCCCTTGTGGGGACCGCCACGCCACGCGCACGTTCTCTAGATTTGCCCAGAGTCCTTAGTGGGACTCAGGCCCATCTCGGTTTGGGCCGTGTGGTGATCCTCAGCCTGTTGCCGGGGAACCTCGGCGCTGTTTCCACGGCAGCTGAGCCCTCACCCTCTGGGGCACAGGTGTGGATGGGATGCAGCCTGACGTGTCCCAGCCCCGCATGTGCCCTTTTGATCTGTACATGCTTCCTCTTGCCTCGCTTGGCAGGAGTGGGAGCTGAAGAACGGGACATAGAGCTCGCGGACGCCCAGCTCGCACAGCGTCGTCCCATCGCGTGGCCGCAGGGAGCTAGCCCGGGCGCTCCAGCAGCAGGACTCGGGGTTTGCGGCCGGACCAGGACCCAGGACCTGGGTGCCAGGACCTGGGCCTGCCTGCTGTATCCTCTCTACTGTATAATGGTTCCCTTTAAAGAGATTTACTTGTAACACTTTGGCTTCCAACTTCATTTGTTTAAAGTGGGAAAAGGGACGGAAGGTATTGTGAGAGCCTCGCCTGGCGGATGGAGAAGCTGCATCTTCCCACCCAGGTAAATGATTGCTTTCACCAGTCTCAGCACTCCCAGCCCAGACTGAAGGTGAACGGCCAACAGGCCCTGGACGTGCTCCGTGCCCCCGGCGGGGGTGCGAGTGTGAGGCGTGGGCCTTGGGCTGCCCGCCCCTCGGCCAGGAGGATCCAGGGATGTCGCTGCAGTGTGAACAGCAGGAACTCGCACCCCGAGTCTCCGCCTCCCTCTCCCCACATGCCCGGCCCCCTCATCACTAGGGGTAATGGCGCGACAGAATTGTGCTGTGAAGCATTTTTTACCTTTGTTTAAAAAATTTTCTGGACAGTTGCTTCTGTCACCAGGATATGAAAAGCTGCCACTCTTCTTTAAACTTTAAAAAGTTTTCTCTTTTTCTCCTGTGTCGCGCTTACAGCTCCAAGGGTTGTTCAGAGATTCTGTACCACATTGTGCTGTCTGTACTCTGCTTTAGAAAGGCGGCAGAGTGTTTCTGAAATTTCACGCATGTGTGTCCTTTCTGGCTTTTCCCAGCATCCAAACCCCTTCTGCCCCTTCAGAGCAAGTGGGTGGCCCTCAGAGACCTGGCCGGCCTCAGGGTGATGGTCACGCTCACTCCCGAGGGGCGCGTATGCCCTTTGAAAGGCAGCAGGCTCTGGGAACTGTGCAGCATTAGGGCAGACGAAGGCCCCCCGAGAGCTTCTCTCCCACCCCGGCCCCTGCGACCCACCAGGGGACTTGGTTTACTGTTTTCCTTGGGGCGCGGCCGCCAGGCGGGGCCTCTCTGAGTTTCCCCGTTTGCCTCCAGAGGGATGTTTCTCGAAGCCTTCAGACACTAAGGCGTGAAGGGGACAGGCCAGTTCACAGGTAGAGGTAATGTGGGTCCAAGAACCAGGCCGGCTCTCCTCTGTCTGCAGAGGGACCTCTCAGGAATTCTCCTTGTGCAGCCACTGCCCAGAAAATATATCTGTCACCCCGGAGCCCTCGGCAGACTAACCGATGGGACCAAATCACACGCGGGGATGGGCTCTTTCTGCCTGCAGTTGGTGCAGGCCTGTCGTCCTCTGCTTCTCATCAGATACAGGAGCAGGAAGCAAGAAAACCGTGCACCTGCGAGCACATCCTGGGGCGCCCACGGCCTCCGGGCCTTGCCAGTCAGGGTTGGAGTGGCCCTCGAGGCCAGCACGGGCCTGTTTGGTTTCACTGACCAGAGCCAGAGTGCGGTCTCAGCGGCTAAGAAAGTTCTACAGCAGGTCATGCAGGCCGTTTAGCTGGAGTCCACCTGAAACCTGGATTTGTTGCGAGGCCGTCTGCCAGGTCCCTGGGCTGCCCGCTGGCGGCCTCACCTGCACGTAGCACGTTGGGCCCCCCGACCCTGACCCCGGGAAATCCGAGTAGGAAGCGGGCAGCGAGGGGCCTCCCCAAGCCTCAGGCCCATCTTCCCGGCCCTGCTGGGGAGGAGGAGCCCCTCTCCCCGTGTTCTCCCATCAGCGTAGGAAGCTGGCATCATAGGAAGCTAACTTTCTGTAAAGGGGAAAAGTGGGGTCTTTGCTGCCTTCCGGTCAAATGAATGTTCCCCAAATAAGGCTCTCAGGCTATTCTGGTTGGCAGCCAACTTGGCCCACGACAGCAGCCAGATTTTGATGGTTGCTCAGAAGGGAAGACATGACCTTAGCCCGGGAGCAGATGGGCACGGGTGGGTGGGCCGTTAGCAGAGGTCACCGCAAATGTCACCTTGACCATCGCTGTGGGTCACGCCCAAGGACACAGCCAACTGGTGCCAGAGCCAGGATTTGGACCCTGGCCTTAAGACTCCTGGTGTACATATTTTGTGTTTAAAAACACCAGGTTTTTAAATTCACTTTCACAACCATGAGCCTTTTAAAGAGGATGGTGGATTCAATCCTGTTACGTCCCCCGGAGCCATTTAAAACGGCCCCGCGGAAGCCAAGGCCGCTAGCGTCGGGCTCCGTGGATGCCCTTGAGGTGTTCCCCTCGATGTCTTTAGATTTGATCAGAAAGTTAGTTTAAAGCGTTTGCTTCAAAATAAGTTATTTGTATATGTTCAATAAATATCGTTTTTAATTTATATCTGTACATATTAGACACACCGTGGACATCCTGCCAGCACCCTGGCAGTGATCTCATTGCCCCCCCTTATCTCAGGGCAGCTGGGAGACAGCGGTGACAGAGCCAGGCTGTGAGGGTGGCCCGGCCTCGGCCCTCGCTCTGGGGTGCAGGTCACCATCCCCTCGGAGAAGTGGATTCTTGAGAAATGTCCCCATTCCTCTGACAGACAGTAATGGTCACGGAGTGCTGGCCAAACTGTAACAGGATCCTAACTGAAATGAGACACGTGTGGTGGCCAGACCGGGGGCTGGCGTGAGGCTGCCACCCTCTGCGGGCCACAGGGCCCTTCCCTTAGAACAGAGGCCACCGTCAGCCTCAGGCTTCTGCTTCTGGCTTTGGTAAGGGGTCATCAACTTCAAAGTCCTCTCCATTTTTATATTTTTATAATGTTTTTCATTCACTCACGAGCCTTTTGCACAGAGATACATTGATGGTGAGAGGGCGTGCTGTGTCACCCCCGACGTGGGCTCAGGTGCAGGTGACCACCCCCTTCCCAGAGGCCGCAGACGGTCGGCCAGGGCCGGGGAGCCAGCAGCCCTCCCGCCCGGCCCCGGGACGGTCCTCTGTGGGGACCCGGTGGGTCTGGGGATGCTCCCAGCTTCTGGGGCTCTGCACAACGGTCTCCCCAGGGCTCTTCTCTTGGCCACATGTGTACAACTAGTCATGGCCCCTGGGCTCAGACACGTTGGCGTTGTCCAGCTTGACCGTCCACCATATTCATCTCGCTGGTCCCTGGGTCATTTTGGGCTCCTTCTGAAAACCCGAGACGACTCTGATAGGTTGGAATGTGCCACCTTTGAAAAGTGTCTCAAAAACTGTGTGTCCTGGGCCCTGAAGACCGCCCCCCAGGGAGGAGTTTCAGATTCCTGTTTGGAATTTGTGTACAGGTTTCCAAGGGGACAGCTTTGCAGCTGGGGTAGGCCCGACGGTCGTGGGCAGAACTCCGTTGTTGGCGGTCCCATTTATTCTTTCCAGAAGAGTAACTCTATCACACGCTATTTTGCCTACGGACCTGCTTCACCAGGCAGTGTTCTCTGGTTATTCACCACGTCCTGCGACAGGAACCTTCCCAGGCTGGGCACGGGGGGTGGGCACTCGGGCAGGACCTCTCCCACCAGAGCAGTCAGGCGTCTGCGGCGGCTGCATCCCAGCCCGGCCCCTGCACAGCCCAGCGGAGGCCTTTTCCAGGAGCAGGGGGCCTGCCCGTCTCCACCGCGGCTCTCGTGAAGGTCACGGCAACACCTCAGTGTTAAACTATTGCTTTCTCTTTTCTTTCTAAATTAAGTTCTTTAAATAATTTCAGACTGTGGCATAGTTTTAAAGAGGGTAATTTTATTGTTCTTGTTGTCATTACTGTCTTAGTATCCCCACGATGGGCTGGGTTGATACTGTGAAATAAACTAAAAATAAATAAACTAACATTTTCATGCCCCCCCCCCGCCCCCGCACGCACACGGTGCAGCATCACAGAAAGCCTTTCAGTGACCCCCGAGCCATAGCAGGATAGCGTGTCATTCGTGAAGGTGAGGGAGCTTCACGCCCAGGGAATTGGTGGCCTCACATGCACCCTCTTGCCCATCTTTTGTGAAATAATTCACTTACATCCTTCCAGAAAAGCCCAACTTGACAGCATACAAGTATTACCAGGTATTCCTGTTAGTTGCCATGGAAGACATTTTCGAGATGGGATCATCAGATCATAATTCTTAGGGACCAAAGGTGTTTTTAATAAGATAATCTTTGTATTTGATTTTTTTTAACGAGAAAGGAAATGTTAACTTTAAACTTTAGCATCAACTTTTAAATTATAGAGATTCAGCATTAATTGACCATGGCTATAAGTTGTAAAATGTTTGTTTTCATATTAAGAATGTAATTATTTCCTTACTGTATTTTTTAAAAACTAAAGTCATATTTAAAATTCTCTTTGAAAGAAACAGGCAAGAAACAGGAAAGATTTTTTTAATTAAATATGTTGGCAGTGTCCATTTTAAATAACTGTAAATATATTTTCACTGTGTTTCGCAATGTATTTAATTCATAAAGTAAAAACTTTTATCAGAAGAAACTTGTATTGGAAATATTCGTTTTCAGTCCATTTGCCCGGATTTTGTAGTAGCCTCACTTGAATTTTCTGCTTTACTAATGGATTTTTCTACACTTTTACACCGTGTAGCCCGCAGACTGGCGCCCTCGGGCGTGCCTCATTTGTGTATTCTTAATAAACTCGCTGTTCCAAGTCGGCCTCTGCGTCTTGACCAGCTAGGTTTGTGGGCAGACGGAAGGACTTTCAGATGAACGGAGGCATTTTGCTGACAAGGCATTTTGCTTGCCAAGTAGGGAGGGTTGTAAGAGGGATCAAGGTGGGGCAAGTGTTTTATTTCTTTGACAAGAATCTTCTTTCATGAAAGAAACGTGTATTTCATTTTATTTATTTATTTAATTTTTGGCTGCACTGTGCAGCAGGCAGGATCTTAGTTCCCCGACCAGGGATGGAGTTTGTGCCCTGCATTGGGAGCACAGAGTCTGAACCACTGGACCGCCAGGGAAGTCCCAAACATAGTGGTTTTTAAAAAGTTGCTTTTAGGCCAGGGACCCGAATATCCG